CTGTGTGCGTATTTATTTATTTTTATTTCTATTTATTTATCTATTTATTTTTGCCTCGAATCTTTACCTACAAAATCTCAAACGAAAGACCGAGGTGAGGGGGGAGGGGGAGGGGGGTTAGCACGGAGGTGGGAGGGGGGGGGGGCGGTCAAAGGGTAATTTCCAATCAAACGGAAGCGAAAGGTGAAAGGAAACAGGGGGTAAAGAAGAGGGGAAGAGGGAAAGGTAGAAAGAATAAAGAGAGGGGGGGAGGGGAGGGGGAGGGGGAGGGGAAGGGGGGGGGGGAGGGAAAGGAAAGCAGGGAGTGATCTCTTTCTCAAAAGCGCATTTCCTTTTGTCTTTTTATTTATTCTAATTTTTTTTTTCGTAGTTGTTTACATTAAAGGGACACGCATTTAGTCCGACCGGTTACCTTGGACGTTGAAAGTGCGCTAGAGAGGAGAGGGAGAGAGAGAGATAGAGAGAAATAGAGAGAAAGAGAGAGGAAAGGAGGAGAGGGAGAGAGAAAGAGATTGAGAGAAAGAGAGGGAGGAGAGGGAGAGAGAGAGAGAGGGGGGGGCGGAGAGAGAGAGGGGGGGGAGGGGGAGAAAGAGATTGAGAGAAAGAGAGAGATAGCGGGAGGAGAGGGGGGGGGAGAGAGAGAGAGAGAGAGAGAGAGAGAGAGTGAGAAAGAAAGAGAGAGAGAGAGACAGACAGACAGACAGACAGACAAAGACAAAAACAGAGGGAGAGAGAGAGAAAAATACTAAAAACAAAGAAAAAAAAACAACAAATGAGCGAAAGAAAAGAGACAGTTACACGCATCCTCTCCCCTCCCTCCTCCTCCCCTACTTTCTTAACCCCATTCCCTCACTCCCCTCCTCCCCCCTCCTTCCCCTCCATCCCCCTCTCCCCCTTCCTTCCTACCTCCCCCTCTCCCCCTCCTTCCTACCTCCCCCTCCCCCCTCCCTTCCCCACCTCCCCCTCCCTTCCCCCTCCATCCTCCTCCCTCCTCTTTTATTCCTCTCTTCCTCTTTTATTCCTCTTCTCCTTTATGGGTTTTGTTTTATCCCTTAAAAAAAAAAAAAAAAAAAAAAATAATAATAATAATAATAATAATAATTCACGTGTTGCTTGTTCTTTTTCATTTTCCTTTTTATCTTTTCTTATTCTTATGGCGTCCTCGTCTGTCCTTCGTTTATTCTTATTTTCTATTATTCTCCTTTTCCTTTATCGCTCTTGTTTTACATAATTTATTTTTAAATTTTCATTTGCTTTATATATATATATATATATATATATATATTTATATGTTTGTATATTGCTTTTTCTTTTTTTCATTTTTATTTTCATTTATATTTTTATCTTTTATTTTTATTTTTCCTTCGTTCGTTCATCTTTACTTATTTATTTCTTATTTTCATTTTCGATTTTTATCTTTATTTTTTGCATTCCTTTGTTTTATTGCA